AATTAAGTCCATAATAAGCAATATGAACTAGTGTCCTATTTAAATAGTATTAGTCATATTATCAATTATTTTATTCTTCTTGGTTTATTCATTAAATTCCATAAAAGTGCAACTTAAGGTTGTTGAAACAATTACAGCCACTGACCAACATGATCAACATGCTAATTTATGTAGATTTATTTTAATCATGAATGAAATAAACATTGGGTAATTCAGAGCTTAATTTTTAAGTCAGACTTTAAATGTCAATGGATATATCCCTTCATTTATAGGTAACATTAAACTAATACATCATCATCTGTAATTTTCAATTCAATTGAAGGGCAAAACTACATATTACTTTATAATTACTTATGGTATGAGAATGCTAAAATTCATAGTTTACATGTTTTACAGAGAGCCTTATTAGTCACTGTCCATTTTGGATGGAATAAACATTTAGTTGCATATATGTATTATTTATGTAACAGTTATTGTTTATTTTATTTTCTAACTATATTTGTCATTATTTACAGTGTGTTAATTCTGTAATTCATGACGTAAATAAGGTGAGTTAAAGTACCCTTAGTGTAAAGCATTACCCACATACTCCTTATTCACACTCATGTAAACTCACAAAAGTTGAGTGTAATCATGCACAAAATTGCATTCATGTGATTCAGACCATGTTTTATTATGTTTTCTTTTGTTCTATTCTAATCTGGTTCTCTTCTGTGGGTGGTTAAGCATTTTAAACGAGCTGTGACTGGAAACAACGCAATATTCTAAAATGCATTCCCAAAATGCTTAAACAGAAATAAAATTAATCCTAGCACTTCTTCTTTGATAAAGACAAAGCAAACAAAGGGTGGTTTCCCAGGTGTCATGTTAAAACAGCTTGTTACATACTACTCTTCATTTGTGCATTTCCAGTACATTGCAATCTTTATTGAACCTCTCACCCAATCTCTCTCTCTGACTTCTCTCTCAGAATTCCTCCTCTCTGGACTGGTCCATTCAGAGTGCATTGTCATCTCTTTACCCCCCATTTGAGGCCACTGCTCCAACGGTCCTGAGCCAGCTCTTTCGTACCATCGAGGCACGTTACCAGGGAGACGCACTGCAGTGCTTTTTGGATTACCTCATTCCAGCCAAACACATCCTAGAGAGTGTGCAACAGGCTGCCTGTGTGAGTACAACACATTAATCACAAAAATAATGAAGTCATTTAAACTACTAGCCTTCTACATCATCATCTGAAATTTTCAATTAAAATCAAATCATTAGACGGTTCATTCAGCACTACACACGATTGAAGATTACTTTCCTGTATTATCATTACAATTCCTTAGAATGAGGTTCAAGATGTGTTTGTGCATTTTTTAAATAAGGAACAATCAAATCTGACCAGACTCAAAAATATTTACTTACAATCCATAGTGTTAAAGTAAGATGCAGAAAACTATTTAGTTTCAATATATCATTCATGCTAAAAGTTAATAGAATGTTAATAAATGTTTTAAATCATAATTTTCCTTTCCTCCATTCCTCTCTCTCTAGGCTGAGTACTCTGATGCTTTGTTCCTTTGTGAAGGTTGGCCACTCTGTTTGAGAGACCGTGTAGTGATCCAGCTAGCCCCCATTAATCCCTTACTGTTACGTCCAGGAGACTTCTACTTGCAGGTGGAACCCTTTGGGGAACAGTCAGCCCGTATAGTCCTTAAGAGCCTCCTTGTGCAGGAGGATCTCTTGGCACAGGAGGATCTGGTGTTACTAGCAGGTTTTAGGGCACAAGAAGGCCCTGCTGTGGAGGAGACTCCCATCCCAGAGATATCCTACCCATGCATTTTCACTGAAGCGTGGTTGAAGGAAATCAATGAGGGTCGACATGGTAATCAGCTACATCAATGTGTGCTTTCTTCTGATCAGGGGATTGTGAAGGTGCCCTGGGCAGAAGTGATCAACCCTGAATTTCTGGAGAGGCCAAAAGCTTGGCAGAAGGTTGAGGCCAAAACATGCACAACTGCAGGTTTAATACAGCAAGATAATTCTGAGGAAGAGCCCAACTCACAGTTTCCTGTAAACATGTCTTTTCCCAAAACAACTCTTGAAACAGAAACCATGATCCTTCCAGCTAAAAATAGTATTGCAGTTTCACATCAATTAGTGAAAAGTGCCAACAGATTTGTTAAGATGGAACAAGGGAAACCTGTGAGCAATCCTGTAGGTAAACCTATTGGTTGGGTTTCCCCAAATACATGGGACAGTAGGCCCAGTCGAGAGCTGGAGGGGGAGTATGTAGATCTTTTGGATTTTGCCAAAGAGAAGGATGCTTTAAACTTTAAAATAGCTGTTATACCTTCAGTTCCAGTGTCCTTCAGACCTCATTCCATTTCAAAAGGAGGCAGCACCCCATGTGTTCAAGCCTCAGAAATGATGGATGAGCACTGTGTTCCATGTTCAAGAAGTAATCAGTTTTCCGAAGATCCACAGAAGGGTTCTGAATCCAAGGGTAGGCATCGTCAGTCTTACCTAGCAGCTATAAAAAACCCAATAAGTTTTGAGAAGGCAAACACAATACTGCCCCTGGATGAAACATGGCCAGGCTTAGGAGAAGCAGAACCAGGCTATGAGGCACAAGGGGTTGACCTTGGGATTGAGTCTTTCAGCAGTTCACCAGTGCAGAGTTCAACCCAACCTGGGCAAAATCTGATACAGTCCTGTCCAGATTCAGTTCAGCAAGATCAGAACTTAGTTCAAATTAATATGAATGCGATACACCTTTCCCAGAACACAGCACTGCCAAGTCTCAACACAGCTGAACAGCCAAAGCACTTGCTTATTGAAAAACCTCCAAACAGTCTTCAGAAAACTGTACTGGAACATACTGGAGCAGTTAATGTCAACAGGCAACACTGCCTGACTGAGCAGGAACCCCGTCAAATGTGGACCAGTGTGCATAAGCATCACAAAACACAACCCTTGCCCAAAATGGGACTAAGGGCTTTGCCAGATCATAGAAGTCACAGACAAGAGACTGGTGCCTACAAATGTCAGCGTGTAGGCAAGGGAAGGCACATAGATCAGTTTGTGTATGGCCTTGCATCTCCTCATAAATCGCTTCAACAACCTACAGGACAGAGACCTTCTCTATTTCCTCATCCACAGAACAGTCTAAACATGCTTCAAGAACAACACAGTCAATTAGAACAAAGACCTAACTGTGAAAACAAGCAATGTAGTGAAAACCCTGTACAGGCATTGAAAGGTTTGGGGAAAAGCAGGCCTAAAGCCCACTCTGCTTCCTCAGTATCAGAGCCAGCCAGGGAGTGTTCGCAGGAGGATAGGCCAGCCAGCAGGAGTCGCAGTGATGTTTGTCCAGAGATTATTCCCATGGTTCCTGGAGTTCAGGTCCAACGAAGCAAGAAATGCACTACCTTTGGACTTGTGTCGCCAAAACTAGACAGACGGAAAGCAGCAAAAAATGGTATGAAGCAACAAAGAATTCATTACATACTACAAAGTTACATCCTAAAATAAAGTTGTTATTGGCTCTGATGGGTTTCCTCACCCAGTGATGTTTTTGATTAGAGAATAGTCATTCCATGGTAGATTTAATTTGAAACAAATGTGTTATGTTTTTATCCAAACCTTACTTTTGTTTTCAGATGGGATGTGATTGGATCGTAGATGCCTCTCTGTGTAATATGTATCTTTTACAGCCCACCTTATACATAAACATGTGCAAGCATGATTGATATGAGTGATTGTTTGAAGAGAAAACACATCTGCTTTGTAGACTATGCTCTAGCTGTGTGTATGTCTGGTCGACATCCGGCAAGAGGGTCAGCACAATGTCATGTTACATGCTTATTACAAAACTGGTCCCTTACAAATGGTCTGATCAACAGATGACAGTGACTCATCTCCTTCACAAAGAGTGGAATGTGCAGTCCTGACAGTCTGTCCTGACAAAAGGTCATCCAAAAAGAGTACATAATGACATGGGGCCAAGTGTCAGAGGTCATAGTTTGTACAGCATTCTAGTAGGGAATTCTCCTCGCCTCCATCTCATCCCCCACTTCAGCAGAATGAGGCCATTTATGCTGGACAAAATTCCAGCATGAAGGGCCAGAAACAACTGCTCCCTCACTCTCCTCTGCAGGAAAAGGCTGTTTGATGTCTTTTTTTTAAGTGAAGACAAAAGAGACTTAGTTGTACTGTAGTTAACAGTGTGTGTTAATCAGACGGAGAGAGAGAGAAAGCGCCCAAATGCACCACATAGTGTAGCTGAATTGTCATAACAGCAGTTTGGAAATAAATAACTAAAGATAAATAATAAATAAATAAAGAAGTGATTGTTTTGACAATTTTTATAATCTTTTGTTGTAGGGGTGCACTTGATCATTAGTAGATTACATGCCCATAACATGTATGCATGCTATATCTGTGCTAGAATCTCAGTAGCTTACCTGAACCCCCACAAGTCCTTTTAAATGTCACCTGTATTTTATTGTTCTGCAATTGGGGGAAAATAAGACAACAAATCTTTTCCCATCAGATATAATGGAATATTTACAACAAACATGTCTACCCAGATGGGATATACAGTGGATATAAAAAGTCTACACACCCCTGTTAAAACTGTAGGTTTGTGTGTTGTAAAAAATAAAACCAAGATAAATCATACTAGATCCTTTTTCACCTTTAATGTGATATAGCAACCAACAAAATTCCAGTGAAAAACAAATAGAAATATTTTAGAGAAAAAAAAAACTTACATTAACTACAAAACTTACAATAACCTACAAAAACTTAATAATAATCATACAGAATCAGTGATTCTGATTAACTCCAAATAAAGATCAGGATTTTCTTGACATATTCTTGAAATCTCCATGCTGAAGCCATGATCCGCAATGAGCTTACAAAGCATGTACGGGATCTCATTGTGGAAAGGTTTTGAACAGGGCTGGGGCAGGGCAGGGATGTTTCTCCAAAGCACAAGAAGAAAATTTGGATCCCTGGAGGACTAATGGTTAGGCTTCAGCACTCTCACTGCCACAGCCTGGGTTCAATTCTTGGCCAGGGAGCTAACCCCAGCCATCAGGGTTGTGCAAGACAGTGCACTCCCAGTTTCAGTCACAAGCCTAGATAAAATTTGGGAAGGTTTTGCCAGGAAGGGCAACTGGCCTAAAAATTGTGCCAATCAAATATCCAGATCAATGATCTGCCATAGCGTCCCCTAACAGAAACAGCCAAAGAAAAAGAAAAAAAACCAAGAAGAAAATTTATCAGGGAGGCTGCCAAGAGACCTATGGCAACATTAAAAGAAATGCAGGAATTTCTGGCAAGAACTGGTCAAGTACTACATGTGACAACAATCGCTCTCTATGTGTATATACAGTTAGGCCTGGAAGTATTTGGACAATGACAGAGTTTTTGTGATTTTGCCTTTATAAACCACCACAATGGATTTGAAATAAAACAAAGTACTTGAAATACAGCAAAGTACTTCCATTTTCTGGGGCTCAAAGGTATTTGGACAATTGACTGACAAGAAGTTATTTGACCAGGTGTGGTCCATTCCCTCATTACTTCAAGACAAATGAAGCAGATAAAAGGTCTGGAGTTGATATCAGGTACTGAGTTGGCATTTGGCAGCTGTTCTACTGGAGCTACCAATATGAAGTCCAAGGAGATCTCAATGCACGTGAAGGAGGCCATCATTAGGCTGAAAAAACAACATAAATCTATAAAAGAGATAGCAAAAACCTTAGGTGTGGCCAAATCAACAGTTGGGTACATTCTTAAAAAGAAAGAAAGCACTGGTGAGCTCAACAACATCGAAAGGCCTGGAAGACCACATAAGACAACTAAAGTGGATGATCTCAGAATCCTTTCCTTGGTGAAGAAAAACCCGTTCACAACATCAACAGAAGTCGAGAATACTCTGGACAAGGGAGGCGTATCATTGTCAAAATCTACAATCAAGAGACGCCTTCATGAATGTAAATACAGAGGGTTTACAACAAGGTGCAAACCACTGGTAACATTCAAGAACGGGAAAGCCAGATTAGACTTTGCCAGAAAACATCTAAAAAAGCCTCCCATGTTCTGGAATAAGATTCTTTGGACTGATGAAACCAAGATTAACTTGTACCAGAATGATGGGAAGAGAAAAGCATTGCGAAAGAAAGGAACAGCTCATGATCCAAAGTATACCACATCATGTGTCAAACATGGTGGAGGCAGTGTTATGGCATGGGCATGTATGGCTGCCAATGGAACGGGCTCACTGGTGTTTATTGATGATGTGACTGCTGACAGAAGTAGCAAGATGAATTCTGAGGTGTATAGGGCTACACTCTCTGCTCACATTCAGCCA